CAGTTTTCCACCCGCTTTCAGAAGCTCCGCTGTAATTCCATCCTCGCCTGGGGCCTTACCGTTTTTAAGGTGCTGGAGAGCTATTCTAATCTCGCTCAGACTGACGCCCGGGATATCATCGGAATAGTCAGACTTGCTCCTGGATCGTTACTCACACTTGTTGCGTGTGGCTCCAACGATGACGTGTACAGCTGCCCATAGAACCTCTTAATCTCACTCAAAATCTCAGGTGTCTCGGAAACGATGCTGTCACATTCAGTCTTCAGTTTCGACAGTTGGCACTTTGAGACAGACAGATCTCTGGCAAAGCCTTTGGAGCCCTGGTTCCGCTCAATCGCTTCATCAATACGAGCAGTATTAAAGTTGCGTAAGTCCCGCCGCATACTTTTGGAGATCCGTCTGTTGTATGCTGTGCTGCCTGTATGTTATAAAATCTACTCCAGACTGTAATTTCATTTCCCGTCTAACAGCCATGAGATTAAGAGTGTGATCGGAGAGTTTTTGTGTACTTCTGCGGTGGGTCTTGCATAACTTAGCTTCGCCCGCATGGATAGTTTCCACGAGCTTGTCATTTATATCGTCCACTGCATTGCAATCTTCTAGGCACTGAAAACAATTTTGTAAATCTAGATGAAAGGTTTCGGGACATTCGATTAGAGCACGTGGGGGACGGAGCGTTGACTTCATTAGAAGTTACCTCTCCAACTTAAAGTTTAGGTTCAGTGTGCCGATAACCATTCGGTGATCGCTACCAGTTTTTACCCTCGCGATCACTGAGACATCACTGAACAGTTGTCGTCTAGTCGTCATACTGAAGTCAATCTCATTTTTTCTCATTTTCGAACCGTCCACCCTTTTGACCCCTTTTTCTCCATGAAGTTGGCTAGCTGCTGGCCCCTTGGGTTCCGTTGCCTTAATCCGAATTTACCTACTTTAAGCTCATCGTTCTCTCTTGTGTCTAGTTTAGCGTTGAAGTCCCACATTAACACAGTATAGTGGGTTTTGGAGGAATGCATTGTTCTAGAGATATCCTCATACTTTTCCTCCAACTCCTCATCAAGATGTGCCGAGGTTGGTGCCTAAACCTGTATGACCTTCAGTGAATACCGTTTGGTGATTCTGAGTATAAGGTACGCAACCCTCGTCGACACACTCCCAATCTTTACAACGTTGATGACGAGAGACTTGTGGACAATAAATCCGACACCTCCTTGGGACAGATGGTCGCCCTCCTGGTGATAGAACAAGTTGCCGGATTCGAGGATTACCGTGTCCTCCCCCTCTCTTCGGACTTCGGATAATCCTATAATATTCCAGCGCAACTTGTCTGTCTCTTCTTCCAGCTCCAGGATCTTCTCCTCAGTCCTCAGGGTGCGTGCGTTATAAGTTGCTAGCTCGAGCAACAAAACCTCGGCTTTCTAAAAGAAGTTTTAGAATAGCCGTACGTAACTTCAAATCTATACATACATACAAATAAATAAAATTGAAGTGTCTGTTTGTAATGACATTATAACACTTTTTACAAAATGCATATGGAAGTACGAGGGTGCGTTTTTAAGTTCGCGGAATGGGTAGGTAGGTTATAAGTCGAGCGAATTACGGAGACTCTTGTCCAAGTAAAACTTAGGTTTACAAGTGGCATACCCTTTTCAAACAAGGCAGAGAGTCATTTGAAGACGAAGAAAAAAAAATTAAGGGATTAATATTAGAAGATGCCCGCCTAAAGAAAAAACAGCTTGCAGAAATGGTTGGAGTATCAGATACAACCATTTTCAAAATTCTTCATGACCATCTTACCATGATTAAAGTCGGCGCAAGATGGGTGCCTAGAATGCTCACGCCGCCTCAAAAGCAACAGCGCTTGGAGTGTTCTCGTAAACTTTTGGACCTCTGTATGGAAGACAAAGATGGAGTGTTGGCACGAATTGTTACTGGTGACGAAACTTGGGTTCACCATTATGAACCTGAGTCCAAACAGGACTCTATGCAGTAGCACAACAAAGGCACACCACCACCCAAGAAATTTAAGGTGGCACAATCGGCTGAGAATATCATGGCGACAGTCTTTTAGGACTCAGAAGGAATCCTATTGATTAATTATAAAGATAAAGGTGTCTCCATAACCGGAAATTACTACGCTTCAATCCTAGAATAATTGAAGGAAGCCATAAAGGAGAAAGAAGGAACATATTGACCAAAGGAGACCTTCTTCTGCACGACAACGCGCCTGTTCACAAGTGTCATGTTGCGATGGCTGCCCTGCAGCAGGTGAGCGTCGAAATTTTGCCACACTCACCCTATAGTCCTGACCTGGCCCACTGTGATTATTATCTATATCCAAACTTAAAAAAAGAATTCATCCATTCATACATCAATCCATTATAAACTGCCAGCTAATGCGGTACCTTGAGGATCACCAGCTGATTAGTTACCGCCAATACGGTTTTCGTCGGGGTCGATCAGCTGGTGATCTTCTGGTCTACCTGACCCATAGATGGGCGGAGGCAGAGTCCAAGGGGGAGGCATTGGCCGTTAGTTTGGACATTGCGAAGGCCTTCGATCGGGTTTGGCACAAAGCGCTTCTTTCGAAGCTCCCTTCCTATGGGTTTCCCGAGAAATTGTGCAATTGGATCACCAGTTTTCTTGCAGATCGGAGCATCAAGGTCGTTGTAGACGGTGAATGCTCCAACTACAAGACTATAATATAATAATATAATAATGATTTATTTGCATTGAATGTAGGTAATAACAATAAGGTGTTGACAGAGTACATAGAAGATAACGCCTAATAAATCTGGTGTTAGAAGAAGATAACGCCTAATAACGCTAATGTTCCACAAGGCTGCGTGCTATCACCAACGCTGTTTCTTATGCATATCAATGAAGTCTCGGATTAGGGGCGGCTAAAGTGTAATCCTTAGAAGACACAAGTTTGCGCTTTTACCGCTAAAAAGAACCCCTTTGTCGTATCTCCTCAGTTTCAAGGCACTCCCCTTGTTGCCTCAGCCAGTATCGGAATCCCCGGTGTCGACATATCGAGTGATGTGCGTTTCGTGTTCACTTGGAAGAGAAGGCCAAATTGGCTTCTAAAAAGCTTGGCGTGCTCAGCAGAGCTCAGAGGCACAACGCCTGCAACTTTACAAGGCGCAGGTTGGGCCTCACATGGAATACTGTTCCCATCTCTTGGCTGGGGCTCACCAGTGCCAGCTCCTTCCACTTGACCACATCTAACGCAGAGCGGCTCGAATAGTTGACGACCGAGTCCTTTGCGATCGGCTCGATTCATTGGCGCCGCGATGAGATTTTGCATCCCTTTGCATTTTCTTTCGCATTTACCATGGGGAGTGCTCTGAGGAATTGTTCATATTAATCTTCTTTATATATAAAAATTATTTGTCACATTGTTTGTCCGCGATGAACTCCTAAACTACTGAACTGATTTCAATGAAATGTTTCACAATGTGTGCAGTTTGGTCCAACTTGAGAGATAGGATAGTTTTTATCCCGATAAGTGACTCTAAATTGTTTTTATTGTGAATTTAATGATTTTTTTAGGACGGAAAGGGCAGAACAACGTCTGCCTGGTCAGCTACTCTTTATATATAAAACTTACGTGTCACGTTGTTTGTCCGCGATGGACTCCTACTGAACTGATACTACTGAACTGATTTCAATAAAATTTTGCACACTGCGTTCAGTTTGGTCCAACTTGAGAGATAGGATAGTTTTTATCTCAATAAATGACTCTCAATGTTTTTCTGCCGACTTCCAAAAAGGAGACGGTACTCAATTCGACTGTATGTTTTTTTTATGTATGTTACCTCATAACTTTGTACTGGGCGAACCGATTTCGATGATTCTTTTTTATATGAAAGCTGATAGTTCTCGTGTGGTCCCATATGAATTTGATCAAGGTCAGACCTATGGGTATTGAGTTATTCTTAAATATCCTATATTAAAGTCGGCTGTACAAAATTTTAAATTTTAAATTATTTATTATGAATTTAATGATTTTTTATAGAACAAAAGGTCGTCGGAGAGGGCAAAACAACGTCTGCCTGGCGAGCTAGTATATATATTGTTACAGTATACTCTTTGTTGCATTTAAAACAACGTGGTTTAGATCGACATTGAGCTTTGACATGACCGAAACGGCAGCATTTTAGACATTGGATGGTAGGGAGAAGATAAGTTTCTAAAAGGAGTATATGTGGGAGGGGAGCACTTGTCCTGAGAAAGTGAGGACCCCTAATTACACCCATCCGAGTAACATTAAAAGTTGCAATAACATCTGAGGCTGTTTTAAAAGCAATTGAAACTCCGTTGCGCCCTAAGATTTTGGTGCCCTGTTTGTCAATATTGGCTACTTTTCCAAATTTCACAGGTCTAATTGTATATCCTATTGCTGGATCAGGTTCTGAGGGACTTAAATGAATAACCAAGGGGCATTTATCGCTATCTACATAAGTCTTTTTCTTGAAAGTCACGGTGGACGAATGTATTTTGGTAGGAGACAGAAGAGTGATCTTCGTGCCCTACTTTTTTTCTTTGGGTAGCTCGGTAAAGGATCCGTGAGTTTAAGTAATGTTTTCATTGCTCACACCCCACAGATAGCTCAGCTGAAGGACCAAAGTCGACAAAATATATCAAAACGAAGAAAACATATATACTGATTACAAAGACTATAAATAGAAACACTTTGGCTAAGCAATCTATTCACAGAAATTGAAATTGCGTTGATATTATATACACCATTGAAAGACATGATTACAAAAATGACTTCGTCAATTTATGACCAAGAAGTGGAACTTTCAGAAGAAAATTTTATTTTTAACAAAACAAATATCATAAAACGTTGTATTTTATTTTACATTGATACGGTAATATACACTGTATTTTTATTAATACTTAAAACACGGTAATTTTAGTCCGCTGACACGGTAGTTTGCAATTTTCATCTGGTAACACTGATATCAATTGTCAATTGTGTGCTTTATTTGTTTTTGTGGTAAATTAAAAAGTCGTTTGTTTTATTTGTTAACAAAGATTTAATAAAAATTAAAATGGAATCACAGTGGACTAATAAATACGATATTATGCGCGATTTGTATGTAGCTCAAGGAAGAATTCCTATTAATATTTCTGGCACTATCACGGCGAAGGCTAAACCACCAAATCATATTATAATTGAAGGTATCGTAAGTGTTCAGAACTGTAAATAACCTGGGTAACCTGGGTTGAAACAAAATAAAGCCATCAGTCTTACGGAACAAGTATGCACGTTGTAGAGTTTGTCAATTTCAATTATGTATTAATTTGACTGCCTCGTTGGTCTGGTGATTGTAAACGAATCTGATCAGGTCACCGTGAACGAAATTCGCTCTCGAGGATATTATTATTAATTTGAATTGTTCACAGCTATAATAGTTGTAATTTTGCACAATGTAATAAGATATTATTTTGTATAAGTGCCTGTTCAGTTTACAAAAAAAACTAATTTGAAAAAAAATTGTAATGGTTTATAAATTCCTAGGGCACCATCAATGCATACCTTATTACATTTATGTTGTGGGTAGGCTTAATGTAGGCACTGATGTGTGCACCCTTGTAGGTGATACAGCTTTGCATAGTACTATAAAATTACCATTATAACCATTAGAAAATTATGTCTATAATATTTTTTTTCTATTTAAATAACATTACCCCCACACTAGCATTTTTTCCAGTACTGTGGAGTCAGTTTACATACATAAATTGCACAAGGACAAGCATCCAGACCCGGAACAATTAATTACTTGTAGGCTTTACAAATACGTGTTTGTGCAGGATTCGAACCCCCTGCTGTAACTCATTGTTAAGGCACTGCGCCACAGAGCTGTCCAATATTTGTGTAAAATAACATTACTAAATAGCTTTGTTTTGTTAATAATAGATTTAAATTTTCAGAAAATGAATTAGAGCATTTTGATGATTGTTGTGAAGATGTAGAGTTTGAAAGTGGACCAGATTTGAACCTTATCAAGGAAATGCTGGACATGGTAAATATTACAATATCATAAAGACAGATGAAACAAATAATTAATGGTATTCTAGGCAATTTAAATGATTGCAACACTAGGCAATCTTTTTTCTTTTAATTAAAAAAGGGAATAACTTAAAGTTAGTAAAGGACAAGTGATGCCAGCAGATTGACCAATATCAAAATAATATCAGCATCTAGGCAAGAATGATACAATGTAGTTGTTTAGATAAGTTCCTCTTTTGCTATGAGAGTTAATTGACTTTGTTCCTAAATGTTGATCCTTATTTTCAATTACAAATCATACATTTTTTTAGGCAAGTTTCAATAAAATATTTTAAGATATGTAGAGAATGCCATATAGCATTAAGTTAACTTTTTACACAATATTTTTGGTGCATTAAAGAAAAAAATAAATATATAAATAAGATATTTAAAAGCTGTAATTTTTATTTCATTTAATTTTTTCAGGTCGAGCAAACAACTTTCAATACAGATGTTGTATCAATAGAGCCTGACAATATATTAGTGATAACAAAACATAATCCACATTGTATAGGTACAGAAGTCTCATGTTCAGATGTTACAAATGTTACTAATCTAAAACCACATAAAAAGAGAAAACAAAGGAATGTAGCTATAACATCCATTTTAGAAGCACTTTCTTTGGGTAATAAAAAAAAAGTTGAGCAAGATGATCATGTGAAACTATTGAAACCGGAAGATTTTATAAAATGTGAAAATAATAGTTCTGTAGCAGTAGTTGATGAAATAATAAATTCTGCAAATGCAAGGATAGAATCAAGTATAACATTTAAAAAGAAAGATTCTGAGAAAAGTGTAAAGGACTGTGATGAAATCAATTTGAAGACTGAATCAAAAAGTATTGCTTCATATAGGCCATCTTCTATGGCCAGTTTGTATTATAAGAAATATTTGGACAGGAGTAAGCTTAAAGAGAGTATGCAGGATGACGTTAAGACTAAAGCTGAGGAAGTGCAGAAAAAAATTGACATCAAAGGTAATTCTCAGTGAATTTCTAGCTACAGTCGGCTCTCGATAATTTGAAACTCAAGGGACCAGAGAAAAATTTCAAATTACCAAGAGTTCAAAATAACAGGTGTTCAGATAACCAAGAGGGAGGGAGGTAAAAATCAAGTAAACAAGAGTTTTACCGACAGTCAACTTGGCACCGCTGAAGGGACTGCAGCACTGCCCAAATTTCGGCGGAATAAAAGGCTTTCTCATGGTCCACATACGCCAGACATAGTGGCAAATTGTACTCTTCCGACTTCTGTACAATTTGCCGAACGGTATATATGTGGTCTATGGTGCTAAAGCCGGCTTCGGAAACCGGCTTGTTCGGGAGGCTGGGAGTCGTCAAGTCTGCGTGCGAGACGATTCATAATGACTCTCGAAAACAGCACGTAGACGCGGCTCAGAAGGAAAATCGGTCTGTAGTTCTTCAAGAGAGCATTGTCATCTTTCTTGAAGAACAAGACCACCGCACTTCTGCTCCACGCCTCCGGTGTAATGCCACCATGGAGGACGGAATTAAAGAGCCTCTGAAGGACTTCCAGTACCGGTTTTCCACCCGCTTTCAGAAGCTCCGCTGTAAATCCATCCTAGCCTGGGGCCTTGCCGTTTTTAAGATGCTGGAGAGCCATTCTAATCTCGCTCAGACTGACGTCCGGGATATCTTCGTAATAGTGTCGGATAAGACTCGCTCTTGGATCGTTACTCACACTTGAGTGTGGCTCCAACGATGACGTGTACAGCTGTCCATAGAACCTCTCGATCTCACTCAAAATCTCAGGTGCCCCGGAAACGATGCTGCCACACTCGGTCTTCAGATTTGACAGTTGTCTCTTTCTGGCAGACAGATCTCTGGCAAAGACTTTGGAGCCTTGGTTCCGCTCGATCGCTTCTTGAAAACAAGCTGTATTGAAGTTGCGTAAGTCCCGCCGCATGCATTTGGAGATTTGTTTGTTCAGTTGCCTGTATGCTGTCAAATCTGTTGAAGAATGTAGCTTCATTTCCCGTCTAACAGCCATGAGATTGAGAGTGTGATTGGAGAGTTTTTGTGTTCTTCTGCGGCGGGTCTTGCAGAACTTTGCTCCGACCGCATGGACAGTTTCCACAAGCTTGTCATTCATATCGTCCACTTCATTGCAGTCTTCTAGGCACTGAAAACGGTTTTGTAACTCGAGCTGAAAGGTTTCGGGACTTTGGAACAGAGCACGAGGGGGACGGAGCGTTGACTTCATTAGACGAGACCTCTCCAACTTAACGTTTAGGTTCAGTGTGCCTCTAATCATTCGGTGATCGCTACCAGTTTTCACCCTCGAGATCACGGAGACATCGCTGAACAGTTGTCGTCTAGTCGTCATCATGAAGTCAATCTCATCAAAGTCCCTCTTCCTCCATGAAGTCGGCCAGCTGCTGGCCCCTTGGGTTCCGTTGCACTATTCCAAATTTCCCTACTTTCAGCTCACCGTTCTCTCTTGTGCCTAGTTTTGCATTGAAGTCTCCCATTAACACCGTATATTGGGTTTTGGAGGAATGCATGGCTCTAGAGATATCTTCATACATTTCCTCCACCTCCTGATCGGGGTGTGCCGAGGTTGGTGCGTAAACCTGTATGATCTTCAGCGAATACGCTTTGGTGATTCTGAGTATAAGGTACGCAACCCTCGTCGACACACTCTCAATCTTTACAACGTTGTTAACGAGAGACTTGTGGACGATAAATCCGACACCTCCTTGGGACAGATGGTCGCCCTCCCGGTAATAGAGCAAGTTGCCAGATTAGAGGATTACCGTGTCCTCCCCCTCTCTTCGGACTTCGGATAATCCTATAATATGCCAGCGCAACTTGTCTATCTCTTCTTCCAGCTCCACGATCTTCTCGTCAGTCCTCAGGGTGCGTGCATTGTACGTTGCCAGGTCGAGTCGTCTAAGGTGGCAACCGAACCTCCACCGGAGATTCTTAGCACCCCCTGCCCCGCCGTTACCATGGTCGCCACCGTAGCCAGGAATAGCGGGGCCGCCGGGAACTGGGGGCCGTCTGTTTGTTGCTCTAATCATTGGGTTGTATTTGCCATAGTTGTCACGCTTGGCGAGCGGGTTGGCAACCGCAGTTTTTTTATTAAAATTTTGGCTATTATCAGGAAGATGCTGCTGCCCATCTCCTGCCTGTTTCCCTTTGTCACCTTTTACGACACCCACGGGAAGATATGAGGTAGTGGATATTGCACTACACGGAAATATATCTATGAATGAACTATAACTTTCAAATATATAGTCAGTACGATACGCGCGCTACCTAGTGTAAGTTAATTGTACTATGTCTTCCTTAACCTTATTTAATCTTCGCGCAAGTGCAAGCAATAAGTTAACAAAGTTTTAACGCAATCTGATGAACAGTACCGCAGAGCATAAAATACGAACAAACAAACATTAATTTGTATATTTTTTTATAAATTAAGGTGACAAACGAGCACACAGTCCACCTGAAGGATTAAGATGGAATACCTCTTTTCCAGTAAAAAGGATCTCCGGTTCTCTACACTCACCATACGAAACACAGTAGTGTTAAGCTGCTATTTTACGCTGGTATTCTGTGAGAGCGTGGTTCTTCCCCGGTCGAGCCGACCCATTCATGCTACAACTATACTACTAATATAGCTGCAGCATGGCTCTACCACTTTAAAAAGTATATATTAGATTGTAATTGTGTTATAACTACAATTTTTAATTACAGAGTTAGATGCGGTTCGTCTACCGCAACACCGCCACCTGTTGACAGACGACTGTATTGTATGTAGAGTGCTGTGTAAGAAATATGTTAAGTAATATTATACAAGACTGAAGAAAATTATTTGTTTGCTTGGTAATTTTATGGAAATCTAAGTTCCTTTTATAAGACTTCATGTAACGTTAGAAATGGATTATTGTTTCTCTGTTTTATTTTTGTTTAATGTATTACGTTAGATTTTAGTGTAATATATTTATTAATTTATAGATCTGTTGAGATTAAAAGAGAAAGAAAAAGAGAGAGAAAAAGAACTAGAGTTAATATATACATACATATACAATGCGTAATATATACAAAAATAAATATCATATGATTTAATTTACTACAATTACTATTTATGATTTTTTTTATAGAATAAATTATTATTATTAGTGACAAATGAGCGCTTTGTCCACCTGATGGTAAGTGGGTGCCGTGGCCCACAGACATCAATATCCATCCTCGATAAAGAATCTGAATAAAAATGGAATGACTCGTCTCTACATTACAGTAGGGACTAACAACATTGTAAATTGCCATATATGCCTTTTTTGATACATTCTGACTCCACGAGACAGAAGGTCTGCGGGGTTGTCACTAGTCGGTAAATACCTCCAAATACAATTTCCTGATTTTTCTAATATCTACGCTACACGGTTGCGCACAAATTTCTGAAGCTTGGTGGCTTGGTGGTATTTTTAACCATCCTACTACTATAGTTCAGTCGGTCCAGAATATAATACGTCTAATTTGCATCCGAAGTAAAGTAATAACTTTTTCATAAAGTTGCGCCATCATTAAGATTAGCGACGGTGACCATAGTTTTTAATTTTGCCCTGTTATTATAGTTTGTATGCAATTGTCTTCCGCCACGTGAGAGGTTTAATGTTTCAATTAAATTGGCACGATTTCGCATAAAGTCGACTTTCCACGATAGAGGGAGCCACATTTACTCTATTTCTTGCGTTCACTCGTCGTTCTATTCTATATTGTTATTATATTAACCACCCCTGCTAACAAAACTTCACAAACTTATATCTCGTATATTCCAGACGTAAAATACCTAGTCTAGAGACGAGAAGTAACGTACGAAACGTCTGCTACTACCATCGCCCATGTGCTTGTCAAGTGTGGTAATTTAGTACACATTCATGTCAATTGAAATACTTTTTAATATGAGAATAAGGGTGACAAACGAGCACACAGTCCGTTAGTGGTAAGTGGACGCTGTGGCCTATGAACTTCTACCTCTATCCACGATCAAGTAAAAAGGGTCCGCTTCACTCACCATACGAAACATTGCTATGTTATGTTATAAACCACATTTTTTACACTGGTATTCTGCAAGAGTGTGATCCTTCCCCGGTCGAGCCAACCCATATGGGTTACAATCCTATTACAAATTTACAGTGGTAGAGCCACGCGGCAGCTCTTGCTGTCGCACGGATGGGCCGGCTCGAACCGGGGTGGTACCACGACCTCACAGAAAACCAGCGTGAAGTAGCGGTTTACCTCTGCGTTCCGCTTGGTGAGTGCAGGTGGCCGGAGGCCCTTTTTACTGGAAATGAGGCATTCCAGCTTAGTCCTCACGGGTGACAACGCATCTACATTTTGATTTGTAATAGAGGATAGATGTAGATGTCTATGGGCCGCAGCAACCACTTACCATCAGGTGGACTGTGTGCTCGTTTGTCACCCTTATCCTATAAAAAAAAAACAATCCATAATGTAACCGTAGAATGGCTCTACCGCGTAGAATATGTGCTGTCCAAACAATTTTTTCCATAAAATTTGTATGAGAATAGTATTGATGTCATAGATTCTTCTAATAATTTCCATATTTCTCAGTAAAAAAATAAAAAATAAATATAGAACAGAATAACAACCAACTTTTGATATGAATGTAGCAAATTCCCATTTCTTAGACATGCTGCCTTTCTCACGATGTTTTGTCACCGCCGCAAAACGTGCACGTTCAAATTTACGTGCCAATTTACCATCAGCTCGTATGCAATTAACAATTTCATCGGCGGGGTTGGTACCTGGGTAGCTCGCATACTGTGAAATTTATTACGAGCGCAATAGACAATCAGTATTATACTGCTTGAATGACAGAGAATGACTCAGAGACCGTACGACTAAAGACTAAGTCACTGTGAGTTATTCTCTTGCCTGTGAGACTGAGGCATTCCATTTTAGTCCTCAAAGGTGCAATGCATCAGTAGCCGTCTTTGTTTGAAGTTGACTGCATTGTCTACAGGACTGAAGTAGCCACTCTTTCTACATTTAGATGTGTATGGCCACAGCATCCACTCACCATCAGGTGGACTGTCTGCTCGTTTGTCACCCTAATTCTATAAAAAAAATATTGGGCTTGTGATTGTGTAGGCGATGAGCTAGCCGCCTATCAATTGTTTCACAAACTTTCATCTATGCCCATACTTTTTACCTAAACGTGGTCCAGGTAGCTTGTTGCTCTTTGGACTCTGCTTACTCCCTCGAGGATAACAGGCGTGACGCTATGTTAATGAGGGCTAATAATTTTCTGCTCACCAGATGTCGCTAGTTGACACTGAGGTAAAGTTTATTGTTACAAAATGTCATTAAATTGAGAAGTTGGTTTTTAATAAAAGTTTATCAGTTTCTAGAGTATTTATTTATTATTATTAGTACACAAAACAATGCGTCAGTGGATTGATCTTTAAATTTTTGTGCATTTTTTTTAAATTTTTCTACTTTTATGAATATTTGTGGTTTGGTTTATTTATTTTTAATCTTATTAATATAAAAGATGACTAATAGTACAGAAGGAGACAATAACTTTTAAATTTTTCGAACAAATTAACTTTCCGCTATGAAATATGTCAATATTATAAAGTGAGGTACTTTGTAGTGGCGCCGCCCTGGTGGCGGAAGAAGTAATGGATGCCCTTATTTATTATGTTGCGTTCAAAACTGCTCACTCATTTACAAAAATAGAAATAGATAGTTTTTTTGTTCAATAAAGATACAACTCATGGAAAGTAATTTTTATAACACACTGGTTCGGAAAATGCTTCCGAAGACACATACGCGGTAGAGTCACGCTGCAGCTATATTATGGTTGTAGCACAAACGGGTTGGCTTGACGGTGGAGGACCACGCTCTCACAGAATACCAGCGTAAAATAGCAGCTTAACGCTGCTGTGTTTCGTATGGTGAGTGTAGAGAACCGGAGACCCTTTTTACTGGAAACGAGGCATTCCATTTTAGTCCTCGGGAGTGACAACGCATCTACATTTTGTCAGTATCTTACACAGTATGTCGGTATCTTAAAATTGAGTAGTGTTGGAGCATTTGGGAGTAAGAAATTAAAATTTTGAAGACACATGAAGTTCGATTCAGTTTTTTATTATTTTTGAGTTGTTGTCAGGAAGATGCTGCTGCCCATCTCTTGTTTCAGTTTCCCTCTGTCGCCTCTTACGAGACCCACGGGACGATATGTAATAGTGAATATTCTGACACCTTACTAATATTACATAGGAAATATTCCTAGGTTGATCAATAAGTTTTTGTTTGTTAGTAGCCAAGGCCAGAAAAAACTAAATAAAAAAACAGTACCCATTTTTTTTCAAACTACATTTGGTGGGAATTTGTTTCGTATGCAAAATGGAGAAAGTGAAACTTCGTGCGCTTATTAAATATTTCTGCTTAAAATTTTTTTCTACGAAAAGTGTTTTTGAAGAACTGCAGTCTACTTTGGCAGACAATGCTCCATCTTGTTATAGTATCGTACTGGTGTGCTGAATTTAAACGCGGCAGGAACCGCCTGCAATCACACTCGCTCCGGACGGCCAACAACGGCCGGTACGCAAGAAAACTTAAAAACAAATCTAATACCCCATTTACACTCTCGCGCGAGCGACGAGGCGCGAGTGTAAACGCTAGCTCGTGGCTCGCCTCGCAGCTCGCCTCGCCACTCGCGGCGCTCGCGTCGGAGGCGGTTTTTTGGGCACGAGGCAAAGGGCCTCGCGAGGGACGCGAGCGTGCTGTTTACACTCGCGTCTCGTTCAGTTTGTTAACGGCGCCCTTCCATAATAACATTCGAATTGCTTTTGTTTTAAAATTACAATTTTAATAAAATAATATTATTTAATCTTGCACAATAGGTACCAGCAATTTATATAAAATAATGAAACTGCAAAGGTTCTGTTTCGATGAATAGATATCATCCGTCATATTCTTCCTCAACGACGTATTTTTATTAATTTCCTTGTTTTTAAAATGGTCAAACATCGATAAATACTTATTAAGGCAAGAGTTGATGCCGCTATTATTTCGCCGTTATTATCGTTGCTGGCTCAACGCAAACTGACCGCATCGCGAGAGTGTAAACAGGCACTCGTTACCTCGCAACAACACGCGAGCTGCGAGGCGAGTTACGAGGCGAGAGTCTAAATGAGGTATAAGAAATTGTTAAGCTAGATCGATGTGTAACCATCCGTTATTTAGCTGAGATTTTAAAGCTTTCGTTTGAGACAATTCAGTTTATTTTAACTCATACCTTACAATTGAAAAAGGTGGCCGCGTGCTGGGTTTTTCGAATGTCAACAGACGCCCAAAGGAAAGCAAAAGTTGATATGTCGACAAAGCGAAATTTAGCAGTAATTATAGAAAATCCACATTCTTATTGAGTTCGATTCGTAACCGTAGATGAAACTTGATACACTATTTTTACGTCTCCCCCGCCAGCCAAGAGATTCAAGACTGCGCCCGCTGGAAAAATAATGGCCTCTTTCTTCTAGGATGCGGAAGGTATAGTAATTAATGATCGACAATTTAAGTAAAGGAGAGATAATAACCGTTGATTATTACGCATCATTAATCAAAAAAGTACGCGAAGAACTAAAGAATAAACGTCGAGGAAAATTGCGTGCTGAAGTGCTTTTTCATCATGACAATGCCAATGTCCATCGATCTGATGTTGCAGACGCTGCCATCCTAACTGATAGGTTTCAGTTGATGCAACACCCACCATATTCCCGGACCTAGCTCTGAGTGATTTTCACATTTTTACTCACCTGAAAGAGCACTTACTATGAGGTGATGTGTGCTGTAGAGGCCTTTTTTGAATCCCAGGATCAAGCTTTTTTTTAAGGGAATTAAGCAACTTGAATAACGATATTCTAGGTGTATTAGCTTAAAAGGCAATTACGAATTGAAAAATAATTACAAATCACATATCGTCCATGAACTTATGAT